GTCCATTTGTGTGTGTATGTCTGTCCATTTGTGTGTGTATGTCTGTCCATCTGTCTGTGACTGTGTGGGCATGTGTGTTTTCCTATTGATCTGTACCTGCTAGGTACTGAGACGTACATGAAGAAGCTGACCTGGCCGGGCATGGCTGAGTTCAACAAAGCTGTCAACAAGCCCATTCTGATCGAGGCTGAGGTTGGTCTCTTCCATCAGCAATATGAACATTTCAACTTCTTTGCCGTTCTCAAGGCTGGACACATGGTGAGAGCCTCTCTGTACTTCTGCATAGCTGGTTGACAACTTCTTGTCTGAGAAATTGTTTGAAAAAGCACCTAACTCCTTGGACAAGCCATTGGACAATGAAGTGCCGAGGCTGTGTGGCCATGCCCAGTTCAACATTAGAATGACCTTTTAAAAGAAAGGTCCTTTTCTGTGCCTTGTAGTGCCCATGAGCCATGAAATCCTGACCCGGCTGTTCATGTTCCTGTATAGGCTGTGCTAGTTGATACCATGGCCCAATGGCAGCAGCTATCTGAGGGCTCACGGAAGCCATTTTTGGTTGGTCCGGCCAAACCCTAGCCTTTCATACTTACTGTGTACGATATGGCAGGTATACTCGTACACATGACCTACTTCCTCCGCGTCATTAAAATTGTTGCTTCCCAGAGCGATTCTTCGAATTTATTTTTCCACTCGAAGGGCAAAGAAATCAACTTGAAATTGAGGCAGAGCATTATCGATGGACCAAGCTTTAGTTTGTGGCCGCCCGCATCGCTTCACTTGCAGCTAAGGTCGACGTCTTCATCAGAGTTTGAGGCAGACCCTTCAGCACTCAACACGCTGAACAAGACGCGCGTTCAAATTCAGGTCAAGAAACTTCATTTTCAAACGATCTACGCCTCCAAGTGGCAGGCGATGAAGGCAAGCTAGCATTTTTCAAGTACACTGTAACGACCTTCCAGCGGGATAGGGTAAGCAGTTCCATATCTTCTTACCTCGGCGAGCGCTTCGCTGATTTTGTTGGCGTTTCCAGACCTGCTACCTTAGCAGCAACATGCGCCACAAGTATCGCAATTAGGAATTTGAGAACACTTTGTTCTTGCCACTGTCAACTTCAGCATTTCGTATTCAGGAGAGATGCCAGGATTCTTATACTCGAGCTTGCAGTCTTGATAAATGCCCAAGGAGCGATGTGGGACGGCACGAACTCCAGAAAAACGATATGCGCTCTGGGGCGGAATAGTGCGGAGCGCGATGAATTTGCTTGGTGCGGAAGAGAGGTCCGACAAAGTTCGAGACCACCAAGGCTTCAGTAACAACTAGACATTGCGCAGGAAGGGTCGAACCAATTTTCGAACACAGAAAACAGCGATTCCGACAGTCTGACCAAGACGAGCCAAGTCACAAACATTGCGATGCGCGAAGCGACAATTTTAATGACGCGGAGGAAGTGCTCAGCAGTGAAGAGACGTTGCTGGCCAAGCAGTTGGTGTGTCCATGGCCTGATCAACAGGACTGGTTCTGCCGGGCCTGTATCTAACTACTCCGTGCTGTTGAATAATTCTCAGCTGTTGCCTGCTAGTGATTCTGTACTGCTGCCGCTACCTCTTTCTCTCTCTCTCTCTCTCCTCTCTCTCTCTCTCTCTCTCTCTCTCTCTCTCTCTCTCTCTCTCTCTCTCTCTCTCTCTCTCTCTCTCTCTCTCTCTTCATGCTAATGAGCACTGGGAAATCCAACTCCTTACTGCTTTGGGGTTTGTGAATTGCGATGGGGAATATCGTAGAGTAAGTTTGTTACCTGCCACTTATACTTCTTGGGGCTGTGTGCGTGCGTGTGTGTGCGTGTGTATGTGTGTGTGTGTGTGTGTGTGTGCGTGTGTGTGTGCATATATGTGTAACTACCTGACAGGTGCCTGCTGATCAAGGTGAATTTGCACGGACTATGCTGACAATGGTTCTTGGCATGTGTAATTCGTCAAAGTAACCATCAAGCACACTCGGTATCTCATTCATTTCCGATTGAAATTTCTGATTGAAATTCATGTACTAAACTACTGAATCTCTCCTGCAAGAATTCTCTTAGTAGAGTGCTCCCAATTCTCTTCTTTTGGACATTGCGAATTGCTGCAGTCTTTTTGCAATGGTGTGATCTCTCCTCCTCTTGCCCCTTCCCGCTTTCTCTCTCTTCTTTCCATCGATCCATCAGTTTCTTTTAGGCCTTTTCAACTACTGAAAGTGTTGTCACCACTTTCTCTTGATGTAATCATTTTATGTTCTGCTGTGATTTGTGTTCGTTTGTGCATGTGTCAAGGAGGTCCTCCTAGGGTGCAGAATTGTGTGTGCGTGGGGGGGGGGGGGGGGAGCATTTTTTTAGTACTGTCATATGTACTGACTGTGTCAACTTACAACCCATTGTCCGCCTTTGACTTTTTACATGCTGTTGCCACATGTCCCAACTGTTCATTTTGGCTTGATTGCTCACGTCTGTACATAACGTTGCACACATGTGTGTGTGTTTTCTTGATGTACAGTGCTGCTCAATGAAATGTGCGCTGTGGGTTGTGTGACTCACTCGATCAGATGTTAGCAGCTGTATTAGAGAAGTGTGCATGCCTACTGCCACACAGTCTCAGCCATGCTGAGTGCATGGAGTCAACTCTGTACTCTATTGCAAGCACACTGAAGAAGCTCGCTGGCCTGAACACGGGCAGGTTTGGTTTGGGCCAGAGCCCAACCTAAACTAGAAATATAAAAAATATAGGATATAACGCTGAAAAGTTTAAAAAGGGAAATGATTATAACAAGACTGGAAGAAAGATAAAAACTCAAAATAGCGAAGGACTGAGTCATGAACATTCAAAACGGAATAAATATGGCTCCACACATAGTTGCAGGCAAGCAGAGTTATTCTGAGTAAAGCTGCAGGAAACAACTAACTCCTTACGATAGCATATCAACTAACGAGCGAAAAGAACGCCGCCTAGGCTAGTATTACCGACAATGCCTTGCCATTATGTAGATTTATGCTGCATGCCGTCAAAATACTGAAAAGATACACTGTATCGCAACGACATCATTGGACAATGGTAAACATGACTCAGCAGCAAAACGCATTCATAACAGCAGCATACCAGCACATGTCAGCTATGGACACGATCGTAAAGAGTATACACGCCATTCGTCATCATTGTCAACTATTTTGAAGTATTACATGTGTGTTACACGTATGTATACAGCATGCATATCAAACTGACCAGTCGTTACAGTTAGGATTGTATGCACTGTGCACTGTACAGTTCAGCTGCTGCATGCCTAGGAATAATGATGATCCGAGAGCATTAATTTTATACAGTAGCTGCAGTGGCTGTCAGGGCGGTGTATGCATAGCCATGCAGCTAGCAGCAGAGTACAGTGTATGCATAGCTAGCAGCAGAGTACATGTATGCATAGCCATGCAGCTAGCAGCAGAGTGCATGGTATATACACAGAAGCCTTGCTTGGTAACATGTTTTTCGATTTTGACAGCGTGTTACAAGCACTATGCATCCTCGCCTTGTAACATGCTGTCAAAATCGAAAAACAGCAGAGTACATGTGCTCTGACTAACATTCTGTGCTCTGCTAGCCTATGGTACGATGCTGGCGAATTTCAGGACTTAACGGTAAGAAAGAATGTGCCATGTGACTAGGCAGTGGCTGAACCAGTCTATAGTTTGTTTTCTTCACATAGTGGCAATACACAACTGTAACGTACCCCCATCACTCTCTGGTAGCTGATACGCAACGCACATAGGGCGAGTAGGAGTTTCCGAGCCGCACAACTATGATGGTCATACAGTAGTGATCCCATCTGGACACGCGGTCAGAGGTGTGTTTAGCGTCGTCGACACCTGCCCTTCATTCTCTTCCGCCTGGTGTGGGAATTTCTCCTCCTGCTGCTGCTGCTGTTGCTGCTCTCCCTGTTGTTGTGGGTGGGCTTGGACTTCAATCTGCTGCTGATACAGGTGTTGATCAAGGAGCTCAAGTTGGTGACTTTGTTCCATCTGCTCCTGCTGCTCCGGAGTTGGACGGTGATACTGCTGCAGTGTGGAGATCTGGACTTGTTGATCTTGCTGCTTTAGCTGTAGTTGATGCTGGTGCTGGTGATGGCAATGGATGAAGGTTGTCAGCTGCTTGACCAATGTCTTGAACATGGGACGTGAGTGAGGTTCAACAAGCCTGCACAGGGAATGTACAAAACACGGTACATTTATAATAGAGACATGCCCATGCCAGCGTGTAAACAAAACACATGTACACACACACACACACACACACACACACACACACACACACACACACACACACACACACACACACGTACAAGTACACGTACACACACATACATGTACCATTATATGTACACACATGCGCACACGCACACACACACACACACACACACACACACACACACACACACACTCTCTCTCTCTCTCTCTCTCTCTCTCTCACGCACAAACACACACAAACGTGCTCACAACACAAGAAATAACTCCCTGAACAAATTTCAAGGCGCTTTTCGGATAGCAACTACAGAGCATGCGCTCATGAGCCCTCGCTTTGTTGTTGTATTGCTGCAACGCTGGGCCAGTCTTCAGCCTCTCATCCGTCACCTATGATCAACTATGCTATGCTGCACCGAAAATCTGCGCAGTGGCACGGGATGGTGAACACCGCCTCACAAAGTATAGCCTGCACTCCACAAGTGAGCACGCATGAGCTGCATGTCGATGGTATCACCCTAGAACTACATATACACACCAATACTGTCCCACGTACCATGTTGACCGCATGATGCTGTAAATGTACTCGGGACACAGACGGGGACGCGATAGCCGATATTGCTCTGCAACGACCACCTCCAGAATCTGACAAAACGGAAACACAAAATATTCTCCAATCAACCAATTATGGTAAATAGTACAGTTATACTGCAGGCTGTATGCGAGTGAATAAGATGATTATTATGGAAAAAATTTAACTGAATGAGCATCAATCCTACTGCGATGCGCACGAATTGGTAAAAAAAGAAAAGAAAAGAAGATGAACAAAACAGACTTTCAGGGTGTGTAATTTTTTTGGTGAATTTAAAAAAAGTGTTATCAGTGCGGAACATACCTCTTCTGGGCTTAGACTGGCGTACGGCTTGGCTCCAAGAGCCCAGATCTCATAGAGGATGACACCGTATGACCAAACGTCACTCCACACTGAGTACTTCTTGAAGATCAGAGCCTGCACAAGGCGAGTCAACAAAACACACACACACACACACATGTACACACACACGCATGTACACACACACGCATGTACACACACACGCATACACACGCATACACACATACATGCAGTCCAGGATACATGAGAGGCATTCTCCCATCTAACCTTCCAGGAAACGACCCTGTATGATGAGAATCAATAATATACTTTCGGAGAATCCTTCAGATGAAGATATGAATGGCCGAGAGACATACACGGCCGCAGTGTACATGTACCGAAACTCATACAGCGTAAGTATACTATATAATACAGCAAATAGTTGTTGACACAAGCACACGAACAGGTCACCCCCCCCCCCCCGGGAACACAATCCCATGCTTACTTCTGGTGCTGTCCAGCGAACCGGCACTTTCCCTCCGCTGGACTCATAGAAATCGCAGTCAGATAGCTTGCGACTCATACCAAAATCAGAGATCTGTACGGATAAGGATAGGAATTCAGGCAACCCACCTTTACTACATGCACAATGAGAAATGATGATGATGGCTGAACTGAGGCAACAACATGCCCAGGCCCCGAAACCTTCAGCCGACGAACTTCACATCCTAGCACCACATTCTTTTACTAGCTGTGAAGCATGGTTGGAGTGTGCATGGTCAAGATACAGCATTCAGTGTATGCATGCCAGAAACAGCCTGAATGCAACACAATGGTAACGGGCAAAGGCACAGAACAACACGACACAAAACACTCCCCATTCTGTACTCGTGCATATTTCACTACCAACATACTTCTTTTTTTTAAGTAGACTCCTGACAAAGAACCCGACAGGGTGGAATGTGCCTCCTAGCAGCCAATTGTTTCTGTGTGTGTGTGTGTGTGTGTGTGTGTGTGTGTGTGTGTGTGTGTGTGTGTGTGTGTGTGTGTGCGTGCGTGCATGCGTAAAGCAGTGTAGCTGCATACCTTGCACATGAGGTTGCTGTCCAACATGATGTTACGACTTGCAAGATCCTGGGTAGAGCACGCAACACAACACACAGCATAGCATTCACTAGACGTGTAGTTTTAAGCATTGTCCAATGAAAAATGCATGCTTATCATGGGGACTGAGTCATCTAGCTACTATACACTCAACATTCAAACATGCAGTTAGCAGTCAGTACCATAAGTCTTACTAACCATCGCACCATGTCAACTTAAAAGCCATAGCCCAAGAAATAATCATACCATGTCAACTTTAATCATAGCCAAAGAAATCTGGCCCACGAGTCAAAAAGTAGCGCCGTGTTTCCATTTCAATCGCATCATGCACGTTCCAAAAACCCGCCCGATGCCCGCAGGGGCCCGCATGAGCCTTCGTGCTGCTTTCAGCACGTGGGCTGGATTTCTTTGGCCACGACTGTAGCAAAGCCAAATATACTACTCGCTAGCTGAGCTTTACATCCACTTGCTCAACCAGTAGTCAGACAGTACCGCCGCTACTGGTTTTGTTTTGTCAGCTGTGAATACACTCCGACCAACACAGGAGAGAGAAACCGTTGGTCAAACTCTGTGACTACATGTACAAGAGTGGACTGGGGGCAACATGCAGTGCAAGTGAGATCCAGGCCTCCCAGCCTGGCACTGTACATACCCGGTGAATGAAGTTCTTCTCGGCCAAGTACTGTGCACCATGGGCAATGTCCAGTGAGAACTGCACCAGACGCTCAAATAGGTCCACGTCAGACAGGCTGCTGCATGGTCATACACACACGCACACACATACATACATACATACATACATACATACATACATACATACATACATACATACACAGAGGAAGGGTGAGAGGGAGTGTGTGTGTGTGTGTGTGGAGGGGGGGGGGGGGAGAGATAACATTTTGACTTCACATGACGTGCACATGTGAATGCAGTACAAAGTGAACAGAACCACATACTGTGATTGTGTGTAAGTACACACAATGTACTATCGTAGACATGGACATCCAGTCGATTGACCGGGGCTGGTGCCCTCAGTGCGTACAGAACGCTGCATGCAGTGCACATGTTGATCCGATGCGACCAGCGCGCTGCAGCGCATAAAATGATATGAATGCACGCACGGTATGCGTACTCACAGCTGCATGGCCAGCGCCCTGAGACCGCTAGATGTGCGACCGGATTTCCATGTCCACGACAGTACAGAGTAAGACGCAGGGTCACACAATGGGCCAGTGCAAGTGTAATGCAAAGGCGGTGGAGTACTGCAGACAAGTGCCTGGTTACCACGTGCTATTGGTGTAACGTGCTGCTCAATGAAATCGGATTGTGTGAGTCAAATCAGCACCCTGCCAAGTGTACATCCCAGTGTTCCCAGGTCTGGGGATGCACAGTCCCCCGCCGACGGTGTACTGGACTCATGAGATGGGATTTCAATACCACGATACTCCATCCTGCTCAAGAAGGTACACATAGAGAGCTGCAGACCGAACCATGATTACCGATCTTTCTCCAGTGCCTTCAAATGTGATAGCAAATCTCCTCCAGTCAACAACTCCAACACCAACTTGACCTGCAGACAGAGCGTACATAATACCAGTGAAACGCATGCGTGGGCACATACAAACACACGCACACACACACACACACACGCACACACACGCACACACACGCACACACACACACACACACACACACACACACGCACACACACGCACACATGTATGCACACACATGCACGCATGCATTGCCAGAGAGTGTGAGCATCAGAAAAAGGACAGACCTTCCGTCAGATGCCACACTCCTATTTAGCCCACGACATCAGAAAACAATCGAAGCGGGGGGAGGGGGGGGGGGTGTGATGCAAAAGCAATGACAACGGAGCCGCATGATGCTGCATTGGTTGCATACTGGAAAGCAAGACAAGGTCTTCGTTGCACTGTGCATATGCTGTTACCATAGAGACAAGAGTTCAGTACGTACTGGTTTGTCCGTTTCTCTGACAACCCCGAGGAACTGCATGATGTGCGGATGGTGGAACTGTCCCAGCATCAGGGCTTCCTTCAAGCAGTTATCCGACACCACGCGATGACTGGCCTTGTCTGTTCGCAGTTGCTTGACAGCCACCAGCTTGGGTTCAGCCTGCAAGGGAGAGACGGGCAAGATTAGGAAATAGACTGACCGGTAAACTGGATGTTAACTTGAGTCGGACATAAAAATACTAGCACCCTCAGCCAACACCAACACTGCAGACTGTCTAGGTCAGCCTGGACGGAAGACACGCTACGTCAGGAACGGGGCAGTAAACTGGATGATAACTCGAGTCGGACATGCAAACACTAGTATCCTCAGCCAATACTTTAGACTGTCTAGCTCAGCCTGGATGGAAGATGCGCTAAGTCAGGAAGAGAGAAGTCAAAGTGGATGATTAGCCTGACATACAACATACTCGTACAGATGCACTCAACCAACACCATGGACTCAGTGATTGTATCTCCATACTGTTAAAGACATCAAACCGACAACTTTCCACTGTGATCACCTGGCAAAGAGCATTCTCACAATTTCTCACGTATGTTCTATGTCCTATAAGTAGATTGTGGCAACATACCGTCTGTTCAAGTTGAAGTGCCGCTAGCCTCACCACTCCAAACTCACTGTAGAACAACACATGCAGATAGGCGCATAGCACACACGCCATCAACCATCCCCTGTTCAGTCACAATACAGTATACATTCACTGTTCAGTCACAATACAGTATACATTCACTGTGCAGTTTGCAGGAACATAGGAAGCTGGTGTTCCTTGCATAACTTAGTCACAGCCATCATCTAAACACAGAAAACATGTGCTGCTGCAAATAGTGAGTGGGCTTGCACTTTCTAAGACAAGCACATTAACTAGTACACGAATCCATCCTGGACACTCACACACACACACTAGAACAATGCAGCAACAGGGTAGAAAAGAGGCTCCACTAGCTGGAACGCCCTGCATTTAATGAGTTGAACTTCCAAACTTCCAAACGTCACAGCCAACTGACGAACAGTAGCGCACACTTCACAAGTGTGATTATAGCCATATTTGCGGCACCTTCTTCAGCTCTGCCATTAGCACCAGCTTTGAGCACACGCGTAAGTACCACCTACACACCATATTCACTACTGAAACTAGCGCCGGGCTGGAGTGAACATTGTCAACTCTGATAGGCGGTGTGAGCAAATTATGTTAGTGCTGACTGCCACAAAGCACCAGCCAGCAGCCAGGCGATACTTTAAGTAGCTTTTTTTAACACAGTCAACAGTGCAAGTACAAACATTCACACACTCACACAACCACCACCAGCTAGCTATCCAAGCGTGCCACTTTTAGTAATACAGCCAGGTCACAAAGTTTCGCACGTGCCAGGCCAGGTACAGGACTTTGGCGTAAACTAAGAAGGTGGCAACGTGAACGCTGGCTGGATATCCAAAGTGCTTTCACCCAAGCTTAATAATTCTATCCAGAGTGAGACACTGCAACCAGACTACAGTAAAACCTGGCAAGGCAACCACCTGTCCTAAAAGACCAGCGCCACCAGCGCCAAGGGACACTATTTCCAGTCAAATGACCCTGGATAAGGAGACCACCTGGTAACAGAGACCACCGTGATTTTGAAAGTCCCTTCAGAGGTCATCTTACTGACAGGTTTCACTGTACTAGCAGTGAAAACTGACAACGTGAAGCAGTGTGGATTTCCCACACTTACCCTGTTCCCAGTATGGGTTTCCCACACTTACCCTGTTCCCAGTATGGGTTTCCCACACTTACCCTGTTCCCAGTATGGGTTTCCCACACTTACCCTGTTCCCAGTATGGGTTTCCC